TAGTTCAAGTCCACCCCATCAGAAGGTCCCAAAGGCTCATCACTAGTGGAAGTCCACCGCCAGCTGCAGGGGCAGCTCTCCCAGAGGCATTTTCCCTGCCAGCTGACAGCCCGCGTGCTGTATCTTCCCCGAAAATGCACTACTGAACACTTGTGTGTCGTGGGTGCCAGGGCGCCCAAGGGCCCTGATGCGGGAGAGGCAGGGGGGAAGGGCTGGTGAGGCGGTGAGCTCCCCCTTGCTCTTCACAGGACCGGCCCGACCCCTGCGGGCTCTCCAAGGACGCAGCGGCGCCGCGATCCCGAGCCTCCGTCCAGTGCTCCTGGCGGTAGAGGGAACTCCAGCCGCTGCCGTGTGCCTCGGGCTCTCCACCCCGGAGGCTGGGGGGCCGAGGGTACCCCCCGAATCCGACTGTGCTGCATGGGACCCTAGGTCAGACCCTAGGTCGCAAGGATCGGAGGACCGAGACCTCCATTCCAAACAGGAAATCCTTCTGTCGCCCCTTCTGCTTTCTGGGCAGCCTGCACACCGAGCCCTGGATCTCGGGGTGGGGCGCGGGGGGCGGAGGTTCTAGGCATGCGCTGTGAGCACAGGATCCTGGGGGTCTCAGGTCTCTCAGCTCCAAGTGCGTGCGGGGTGCTCTCCTCACGGGGACGCCGCGAGGGCACCAGGGCCTCAACCCCAGGAGCCCAGAGCTCCGAGCCTCCCCATTCTCCGGGTCTCAGTGCGCACAGGTCCTGGGGACCCAGGCCTCCCCATCCAAGGGTCTCTCTGCGTGCAGGGCTGGCTAACCAAGGAGCCCCTGCCCCCTCAGAGACCCCAGCCGGGCTGCCCGCACCTCCTCACCATGATTCCCGTTGTCGGTTCCCGCCGCGACCTGCAGACAGACCCGCCCGCCCGGCGAGGCTGCACCGTCTCCCGGCAACCGATGGGCGGTCCCGCGCGAAGTCTCGAAGATCCTCGCGAGATTCAGCCGGCGGGCGCCGTCCCCTGGAACAGCAGAGGCGAGATCCTAGCGACGCGCGCTGGGCGGAACCGGGGTCGCCCGCGGCGGGGAGGCCTTGCCGGCGGCCTAGTGTCAGCCACGCGCGGCGTCTCCCTGAAGCTCCTAAACGCATGGCGTGGGGGCTGTGGTGTGTTTTGCGTGTCTCCCCGACTGGAACTTAAGCTCCACGGGGCGGGGGGGGCGGGGGCGCTGTTTCGGTCGCTTCTCACCTCCAGGGCCCGGGACCACGGCACACAGCAGGTGCTCAATACGAGTGCCTTCGGCGAAGGAGGGAGACCGGAAGGAAGGACAGCTCTGCCACCCGAGGCTCCCGGATGTCATGCACATTGATTCAAATTTGGGCTGAGACTACGCCCTGGGGCCGCGCACCCCCTGCCCACCGTTTGAAAGTCCCTCCCACCGGCTGCCCCGGGAGGACGGCCGATAGCTGGGTCTCCGCAAACCATCCGAACAAAACAAAAAGAGGGAAGAGAAATATTTTCCAGCTAGCTCCGAAGTTTGGAAACCAGCAAGATTCTCCGTCTCAAAAATAAACTGCGCTCCCCGAGGAGGCTCCTGTGTGGTCCCCTGTGCTCGCGGTGAGGGAAAACTAGAAAGCTCTGCCGGACGCGGCGCCGGGGGCTCAGTCGGTTAAGCGTCCGGCTTGGGCTCAGGTCACGATCTCACTGTTTGTGGGTTCGAGCCCCGCGTCGGGCTCGGTGCTGCCAGCTCGGAGCCTGGAGCTGCTTCAGAGTCTGTGTCTCCCTCTCTCTCGGACCCTCCCCTGTTCACGCTGTCTCTCTCTCTCTC